GGGGGAGAGAGGATCGGATTTCTCTGTCCGGGATACTTCACTGCTGCAAACCACTACCAGATGTGGAGCAGCCAGCATGAGAGCGGGAGGGAGGGGGCGGCGTGTGCTTTATATGCATGTTTGTGTGTTTGTGTTTCATTGTACTGTACTATTTTTACTTGTATTTTACTTGTTTATTTTAGAGCCCATATGATATGAGTTTGAGGATGGGATGAATTTCTAAAAAAGGTTGGTTATGTAAAAATGCAAATTTGATGAAAGGTTCTTAAGTGAACACATATGAAGGCTGGAACATCTACGGATACGTCAGACAATGAGCCCAGGGAATAAAAGAAAAATCGATCATTTTGACCCATACAATGTTTTTTTGGCTATTGCTACAAATATACCCCAGCGATTTAAGACTGGTTTTGTGGTCCAGGGTCACATATATATTCGTTCATTAATTTATTCATGTCAGCACCAAATCAGCATTATGAAATTATTTCTGAAAGATCATGTGACACTACAGACTGCCGTAATGGATGCTGAAAATTCAGCTTTGCCATCACAGGAATAAAATGCATTTTAGAATATATTCAGATACAAAACCGTTATATTATTTTGCTATATTACATTCTTTAACTGTATTTATTAATTAAATAATGGGCATAAGAGACTTCAGATTCCCAGATTTTATTTGTGTATAAAATATAAAATACAACTCTATTATTACTACTATATATATATATTATGTTAAGTTATTTCACTTTAATTGCATAGAAAATGACCATTGCCATTTAGAGGAAAATTACTAAACCCAAACATTGGAGCCTGATAAAAAAGCTCATTTTAGATGAAAATTTCAGATGGCACTTAGAGGTTTTTGCATCTGAACTCTTCATACATACTGTATATATATATATATATATATATATAGAATTAGCTTTATTCGCCATGTGTGCACAAACACACGAGGAATTTGTTGTGGTTTTTTAAGAAGATCTTGGTACATACATACATACATGCATACATATCTGACATGAGAACAGAAACATTTAAATAAGACTTGTATATGAACCATGTTTAATGATAAATCTGCACACTCCGTATTAAATTCTTCTTGTACTTTGGATAGGAAATGCTAACCTTCATCTGTAGCTGTTTCAAATCTCTCCTCAGAAGTCACAACCTTAAGAACTGGAAACAAAGAGGTACATTCTTCGTGTTAACATCATCTCTGTCTTTTACAGACCTCCTGTGCTCTCTATTTTTGTTTTGTCTGCTGTGTTTCCCTTTATTTGACCTGAACTCTCACCCATCACCTCATCTGTCCTTGAAATACACTAATATAGACTCCCTTGACAACAAGTTACGTTTACAACATAATAACTCTAATAACACACGTCGTTGAGAATAACGTCTTGTGAACGTTTGAATGTTTTTTTTTCTTTTCCTTAAGAGCCTTGCGAGCAAAAGCCAGTATAGACATTTCTGTGTTCTGTGTTTATTTGGTTGAGCACAATATAAAACCAAGTAAAGCCTCGATTACCGTGACCTTGTGTGACATCACCCATTATTGGGTGGTCCTCAGTGTCAACTGCGGGATCCCAGAGAGACAAGCGTATGATTTCACCGTCAGGACCCATTATTAGGGTGCCCACTGCTTTGCCTCCCTGCCATTCTGATAAACACAGAGATTCAAACAGTGAGACTTAACAAACCTAAAAGAGGAAAAAGAAGACAGTGCTCTACATACAGTGGCTTCAAGATGTAATTAGACACGTAAGTTACATGTAAAAACATATGAATGTCATTGCATTAGAAACATTGACCTAAGTTGCATAGATGGCACAGGCACACTCATTTCACAAAAATGTGTTGTCAAACATTATTTTTATAGTCAATATTATCAACTGTCAGTTAATGAACTGTTTTTGTATAGTTTTACAATTATATTATATTATATTTTAGTTGTATAGACAATAGTTGTATCGACTCAAAAATATATAATGGTAAAATATAACTACACAAATATTTCTATAATATTAATGTAATTTATTAAATATTATATATTGTAACATTATATAATTATAGAAATAATTACATAAATATAAATTATTTTGCATTGTTAGATTTTAACTTTACACAATAATTGTATAGATTTAAAATATGTGTATTATGGTAAAAAGTAACTATACAACTATACCTACAATATAAATATATTTATTTATATATAAATAAAACATTATTATTTTTTTTTTTTGTGGTGACATTTTACCATTTATATATAAAATATACAGTACATGTTTAGTCTCAAAATATCTATATTATGGTAAAATGTAATTATACAAATATATCTATCATATATTTGTATTTATTAATTAAATGCTATTATATTAAATATAAAAAATATATAATATATATATATTTTTTATTTAACTTAATGAAGGATTAACCAATGACCTGCTTGTCTCCAGCTAACAGTTAGCATGGAGTTTTTTTTAATACTTGTTTTGGAATGTCTTCAATCCGCTTGTTAAGTTGTGACGTAAGGAATACTGATTCTGTTTCAATTAAAAATATTTCAGCAGCTGTTTATGAGCACTATTCATTCATATAGTATCCCACATTTAAGCTAAGCTTTTAAAAATTCATAATTTAAACTACAGTCTCCAGGGTCATGGCGCCCCATGCACCAATATTTTAAAGCTGAATCACTGTCTGACCATCTGAGATTTTAGTATGGAGATAAAGGTTAGGATCATGATTTTATGTGCAGTTTTATTTGCAGTATTTACAGCAGTGTGTGCACACAACCTCCCTACAATGATAAAAATCCACCCGCTCATTTTTTTAATCCCCATAAATCATAAGCAGTGTCTCAGAACAAGCCGTTCGCTGAATCGTTACAATGTGATGTCACTTTGCACAAGCCCCACCCACGGCTGTTGATGGACACTGCCGTATTAGCAGAGACCCCGCCCTGAACGAACCGCACACGATCCGCCATGTTTATCTTCACGCTAGAGCATTTAAAAGCAGCATTCAAGTAAGAAATGTCTTCTTATTAAAGATACAGAAGTTATTTATTCAATAGCAGTGAGTAATTTTCTGTTTTTATTTTATTTTTTGGGTCATATTAACTGTGTAGACAGCAGTATAGGTTCTTTATATTACAGTGTTGTCAGTTAATACACAGATCTATATAAAGATGCGATTTCTTTCCCAGCTGTTTACCTTCACAGACATAATCAACTGTATTTTTGAAACTTGCGTTTGTTTTTAACAAACTTGTGTGTATTTGACAGTTTAATTGCAATATGACATGAAAGAGAACTTAGTTTAGTACTCACATGCTGTGTGACAGCTGCTTCCTGTGTGCGCGCTCAGAAAACCGTATATAAGAAGTTTAAACTGATATGGCTTTAAAACGCATGTTTTCAACGCGTTAGACATGATAATGAAAACCAAACAGATGGTTTTTAGCAGAATATCTGAGGTACGAGCTGTAAAGGCACAACCCTGTTCTGGAAACGGGGGCAGGGAGCAGCAGCTCCTTTGCATTTAAAGAGACATGCATGAAAACAGCATGTTTCTGCTTCCACTATAGGCATTTTCAAAATGATATAATAAATGATCTGTGAGGTATTTTGAGCTGAAACTTCCCAGACACATTCTGGGGACACCTGAGACTTACAGTATATTACATCTTGTAAAAAAGGGGAATAATAGGTGCCCTTTAAAGGTGGGGTAAGCGATTTTTCAAAAACGCTGTAGAAAACTGATTCGGGCCCACTAGCAAAACAAACTTGTAGCCAATCAGCAGTAAGGGGCGTGTCTACTCATGATGTGGAGGAGACAGTGTTCAGTGCACAGGACGGACATTAGCGAGCCAAGCGACAGAAAGATAGAGATGGCTGATAAAAAAAACAAAAGAGGAAAACGTCTGCGGAACATAAGAAGGTTTAAGGCAATAAGTAGGACCCGTGTAAATATCGGATCAGCTTTCCAGCGCTGGAGAGAACTCAAGGAGCGGAAGGCCTGCCATCGGACACCGAGATTGCTTTGTTTCTTCTCGATAGGTGAGTAACACCTTGTCTGCGCCGCAACAGCTAAAGTCTGTCTAGTACACTGGACGCGACAAAGCGACCGTTGAAATCAAAATAGGGGCGAGACCCTTTTGGGGTAGGGGCATGTTTGTTTTGGTGATTTCAAATGTCAACATTGGCTACCAGAAATCGCTTACCCCACCTTTAAGTGGATCTTTATGAAGCATGCTGTTACCTCTGAGCTCCAGAGGGATGCAACCTCTAGTGTTTCCTGTTTATGCTTCTGATTTGCCTGCAGGGTCATGTAGCTTCTGTCTGTACACAGCCATGGAGCTCTGTTTACCTGGACCCCTCCGGCCCACCAGGGGGGGCAATGGACCAAGAGGGGGATGTTGATCTGAGGGAATTAAAGGTAAATAATTAACTTCTTCACTTCAGTTCTTCAGTAGCAATAGTTAAACAATCTCAAACTGAACAAGAATGACTTCAGAAATGCTCAAGTCGAATCTACAGCAGTGCAGCTTTCTCATAGAGGCTTGTTTTGCCTGGGTCCCTGAGCACTAATGAACAACTGAACCTTAGCCTCTGTGTTATTATTTACCATATCGGCCCCTGAGATCTCCCACCACCACTGTCCTCACTCCCCACTGCTCTGCCTGACTAAAGACTGCATTTAGCTGCAGCCAAGCACAAGCCGAGCCACACATGAAGAGGTGCTCGGCCCTCAGAGGGGGCCTGCGCTCTACCACCTCACTGTATGAGCCGTTGCAGCCCTGGAGCCTACAGCTTATTTAAGCCTCGTTTGAGGATAGTATGTGTGAACTAATGAGAAGAGGAAAGGCGGTCAGCAGCATGAAAAATGAGATGGTTAAAAATAAGGGGAAAAAAGAATGAAAATGAGAAATTGGTAGGACGTTAAATTTGTCACAGTAAGGTTCAGTCAAATAGAGTTGAAGCGAGGATCTATTTGCAAGAGGTATTTTTATTAGGCCAAACAGAAAGCACACTATTAAATGGGAGCAAAGGAGAAACACAGAAACAACGCAAATCATCAGGAAACAAAAGGCTATAAATACACAAGGATGAGATAATGAGCAACTAAATAAGACACAGGTGACGAACATAATCAGTAACCATGGTGATAAACAAACTTAAAAACACGAAGGAATAAGAATAATATCAAAATAAGAGTCTCTAAACTGAAAAACACAAACAAAACATGACAAAATTTAGGTTTAATATTAATATGTCAATGCATTAGGTATCACAATATTTTTACAGATTTTTTTATTAATTTAATTTATTTTGCAGCATTCATTACAAAATACAATAATAATACACTTTTAAAACGTTTTAAGTTGTATAAATGAACATTAGTAATTAGGAATGAACATGAATTATTTAACATAATAGTATGATAGTATTTTTTCATAAATGAAACTTAACCTTTAAATAAACTTAAAAATATTGTTCATTGTTGGTTCGTGATACCTAGTGCATTAACTATTGTTAATCAATTGAACCTTATTATTAAACGTTACCCAAATAAATAATCATAAATTATACTTAAACATTATTTGGTTGGATTGTGCGATGGCCAATGAAGGGTCAATAAATAATTAAGCAGTCACTCAAGGAAAAGACATTTAACCAAATCAGCATATTAGAATGATTTTCTGAAAGATCAAGTGACACTAAATTACATTTGAAAAATATATTCAAAACTCCTCAATATTGAAGTTAGTTTTTAAATGTAATGTTTAAATTGAAGTTACTCTGAAAGTACATTTAAACTGTATTGTTTTTAATTATTGTATTGTTGAATTTTATTATAAATTTCTAGTGGGATCACTTGATTCCAGACTCATTGGTAATGCGTTTACATGTACAAGTCAGAGTTTTGGCAGTGTTCTTGTATTTTTTCATCACTTCACCAGTTTTCAATACCGCAATTCCGTTGACTTTCAGGGTGAGTCATTTTGAGTTCTGCACTTGAATAAGAGCACCAGGTGTTCTTACAATATGTATTTCAACAATATTAGATCTGTTTTGTCTTCTGAAAATGTTTGACAAGTTTTTGAGTTTGCATTGAATTCTAGCACCAGTTTTGAATTTGTTGGTTAATGCTTCAGTTGTACTGCACTGGGAATAAAGGTGGATAATCAAAAAGACCATATCACAAAAAATAATCTTTTCTGTGATGGATTGTTTTTGTAAAGCTCATACATCATGACTCGTCATATTTCCTTCAGCAAGTATGTTGTGAGTCATATGTGAATCAGCAGCTGTACTGTGTTAAACCTGAATAATAAATAAATCTATCATTACCTCTTTTTTCTAGATCATCAGACCACATGACATTTCCAAGATCCATCTCTATAATCCTGCACTTGCTGTCAGAGTGAGGGTCCTGTTTTCTTTGGTCTTGCCCCTCTGCATGCTCCAAATCACCAGGTGGCTCCGTCTCCTCAACAGGTGTCCTGTGGAGGTCATCTGAGGCACAGTAAAGAATGAATGGTTAGTAAAATGCGACATAATGAACTAACCCATTATGCTGTATTTATTGATAATAGTGTGCAGTGAGATGTTGCATGCCGTCTGGCTGATGGGTGTCTGTTTGTGCAGAGAAAAGAAGCAGCACTTTGCTGTGCATGCATCTCTCTGAGGGTGTAACGGGGCTGACGAGACGTGAGACGTGTGGATCCATCTGCAGGCTTTATGGGTTTCATGTGCAGTTCCCTCTTTGATGTCAGGGAGATGTACGTGTAGTTCCCTTTTTGGTAAATTCTCACAGCTGCTTTTTTTCTCTTTTATTTCTGTTTGATTCTTCAAGACAATTCCAAAAGAATTACATGCAAGATATGGTGAATTTACAAGGGACAAGGTTATTTTTGTCGTTTCAGTAC